CGGAGTCACAATCCTGATGGATATGTCCATGTTCTATGACACCATCAACCTGGACCGTCTCCAAGACAAGGCCCTCAAGCTGCAATACCCACCACTTCTCCTCGAGCTTGCAATGCAAGACCAAGCAGTGTCCAATCTGTCAAGTGCCAGCCACACCAAAGCATGTCATCTGGCTTTGCAAGTGGCACAAAACCCAGAAGCGTGAACCCATCCCAGCAGAATGGATGGAGCGCCTTACCTGCCCAGAAGAAGAACCACTCTGGTCAACGATGTGGGTTCCACTCGAACCCCAAGAGCGGCAGCAAGCCATCCATATCAAGGCCATGGATCCCGGCAAACCCTGCAGCCACTGGCACCACACCAATACGTTGGATGGGCCTTCACTTTGGACGCCGCCCCGTCGACCTACGATGCCAGGAGTCAGCTCTGGGTCTTTGGCCTTTGTGTCCACACCCTCAGCATGGGCCAGCTCAAGCGACTGGGAGCCATCACAAGCATTCCCACAGGTGACCAGACAAAGGCTCGGGCTTTGGTTGCTGGATTGGTCGCTTTAGCAAAGCACACAACCGCACCAGTCAAGGTCATTGTGCAGGTAGCATCCGTATGGGCAGCATGGCAGACTCACCACCGCTACCAGCCTTTCCCAGATCTCTTGGAAGATCTCACCATCGAGGACACGCAGCGAGTCACGGTGCTTTATGTCAGCAGGAACACACGAACACCTGAAGCCCCGGGCAACGAGCCTCAACTCCGCAGACGCCAACGAGATGCTGCACTAGTGGCCTGGGAGCGAGCAAACAACCTCCATGACAAACGCCAAACGGAGCGGCAAAAAACGGTAGATCAAGACAACACCATGATCTACAAGCGTGCCATTCAAAGGCTTGTCAAGATCTATGAGGACAAAGAGCATTACATCCACGACAAGGCACCACGCCAACTAGGCAAGCAGACCAAACAAAGGAAGAAAGACTTGGTCAACCAATGCCGGCAGCCATGGACACCCCAGCACCATCGATGGGAACCTCATCGGGGTGGCTACCACTGCAGTGCCTGCGGCGCCCAGATGCACCAGGGGCTGACGGCCTCCCTGCTTGATGAGAGGCTTCATGAACAATGCAACAAATGCTCACAATTACAGCTGGATGAGCACCGTCCGGCGGTACCACCTTTGGCTCCAGAGCTGACCAAAAAGCCCACTAGGGCTCAGCTCATTCGTCAGCTACTGCACAGCAAGACACACCACCAGCTCCTGACAAGCGCATCCTGGAGGAAACCAAGGGGTACCTCAAATGCCAGAGATGCGGAGTTAATGTCCATAAGCGCACCAATGAGCAAGCGTTCCAGGCGTTCGTCCAGAGCCTTGACCAGCCTTTCCAAGCACCACATGAAGGGCACCCAAGTCACAGCTTGTGGCAAAAGGGCAACCAAGTTCGGCGCACTCAGCTACATCTTGACAGCCAACAGAGGGTGATAGGGGGCGCCACGTTCCACAAAGAGTGCAAAGGAGTGGGCCTGAAAGGATCACCGCCGATCCACTCTTTCTCCAAGCCCACAGCTCAACCCACACCAGAACAGGAGCAAACAGCCGCCACCACTCACAGTGCAGGGCTGCAAGCAGCCAACACCCCCGCCAGGCCAACACCAAAGAGACTCCACTTCTCCACGCAATTCACTCAGACTGAAGATGAGGACCCTCCTGCACAGGCCATGACGCCCAGCCTCTCAGCGGGAGACGATCGCTCACAAAACCAAACAAGAGAGTCACCGCGGCTGAAGCCACCTGCAAAGGCTATGAAACCCAGCCTCACAGCAGGACCCAAGCGTCCAAAAGCCGGTGACAACCAGATCCAGGCTGTGACAGACCCAAGCAGCGGCTCTGGTCACTCGGAAACGGCAGAAGAGCCAGCCACCAAGGACGAGATCCTCGAGGTGGACTTCTAGCGGACTAGCGGCTGCAGCACAAGTGCCAAAGGGCACAACGACTGAAGCAAGGAAAAGACCGCTTTAGGAAAAACACATATATACATACATACATACATACATACATACATACATACGTACATACATACATACATACACATACATACACATACATACACATACATACACATACA